ATGTGCTCAATGGTTGGGTGCCCCTAGGTTCAATCTATTAAAAAAAAAAAACCCACACATTAACAACAACAACAACAACAACAAAAAGCTGTAGTACAATATCAACCACTTATTCACTTCAGGAAATCACACAAACACTTTTAATGGCAACCCTTAATTTAGTTAGGGCTTTAATAAAAATTAGTAGAACATCAGGAAAAATGTGAAAAAAAATGCAGAGGATGAGGATACACCTCAAAGAAATGTGGCATGAAAGAGAAATGTGGCATAAAAAAACAAACAAACAAACAAATAAACAAAAAAACCCAAAAGTACCCTGTGCTGGAAAAAGAAAATGCACACTCAAGTTGTAGCATGGTTACTAATCTCTCTCTCTCTCACACACACACACTTACACATACACACACACACACACACACACACACATCTTGTAAGTCACTTCATACTTGGGGTTCAGATTTATAAATAATTAAAAAAGAGTGAGAAATTAAGCCATTAAAATCTTTTATAAAGCCACAATTCTGAGTTTCAAGTAGATGCAGTTTTATTACTAGATGACTATTTTTGACATTTTTAAGCTCTCAATGTCAAGGCACACATGCACTAGTATGCCTTTCTTAGGAAGCAGCATGGGAAAAACTATCAGAATTTAAAATGTACATTTTTTTTGCTCCAGCAATTCCATATTTATAAATTTAAAAATAAATACACAGGTAATGACATATTTTCAAGGATCTTAATAGCAACATATTTGTAATTGTGAAAATAAGGCACTGATATTTATGAAATGCAATACTACAAAAATATTAAAAATATGGATATTATAAGGCAATTATAATAATTTGAATGGAAGTTATCTTACGGACTCATAATCTAATCTCAGATCTTTGTGTGTATGCATCAATACATCTGTGTATTTGTCTAGTATGTATGAAGAAGTATTGGATGAGTAATGCTTAAACACAGTCACTTAACATATTCTTCCTCTGTATACACATAAGAGATCTGCAGGATTTGTTTTAGGAAGTACAGGCTGGGATGAGGATAAAGAGGACTATCAGTTTCTTTTTTAAATTATAAAACTAAGACTCCAGTGTAAAAAGCAATGGTTTGAAGTGAATTAAGCTATATATTAAAAAAAAAAACTGAGTATTACTTAAAAGTTCATTTTCCTCACTGATCTGAGTTTTGTCTCTTACTGCATTATAATATGCTATTGAGACTTTCCTGGGATTTTCTTCTGTTCCACGGACTGTCTGTTGATATGTCTGGTGTAACACATTATACCAAACGTAATTCATTCAGCCATATGTCTTTATGTTCACACTTTATTGCACAGTATTGCACTGCATAAATGCATCATCTTCAGTGCAATTCTCACAACTTACAAAATATTGCTGTAATATCCTTGAAAATGTAACATTGCCCATTTGCATGTTTAAGCTAATTTACAAATACAAAGAGTGCACATGTTAAATTCTGATGCTTTTTACAAAGGAGAATTCAGAGTATATTTTAATGTCTGGTAGAGTTGGTGCCCTCTCATTCTTTTTTCCTCCAGGTTATTCTAATGTTATCTCAAATGAAAACATACATAACATTAATGGGATGTCATTAAATTTACAAATTAAGCTAAGGAGAAAATCCTGTTTTGATATTGAATGTTCATATCTAAGAATATGGTATAGTTTTTTACTTGTTCAAGTCTATTTTTTTGGGGAGAGGGTATTTCAAGTCTTACTGTTTTGAACAAAAAGATTTCTCATATTGGTTTTAGACCTCAGGTTTATACTTTTTTTTTTTTGCAATCACAACGGGGGTCTTGAACTGAATCTAATTTAGGTTTGTGTGTATATATACATATACACACATATAGTCTTTTATTCTTTTTTAAGATATTTTTATTTATCTATAATTATACATACAGAACAGTGCTGAAATCATGTGTACAGCTTAATATTCATAAAATGAATGCACCTATGTAACCAGCACCTAGGATCATAAAACAAAACATTACCAGCACCATAGAGCCTCCTTGTATTCTCTTCTTAGAGCCAAAGAAGCCAGGTAAAAAAATATAGTATACAACATGAGTCCACTTATATAAAGTTCAAAACCAGGCAAAATTAATTGATGATTAAGTCTCGGTAGCACTTACCTTTCAGAAGGGAGGTAGAAGCTGAAAGAAGTGATTTCTTAAAACACACATGAACTTTGCCTGTTCTGAACTTAATTAATGGAATCATAATATACACTCTGTGACTGGTGAAGGCTAATTATTTGTTAACTGTACTTAATAGCTATCATTAAGTTCTTTTATAGTATATATAATTTATATAAAAATTGCTTTGGGTTTTCCCAATACATATAATCATATCTGTAAACAGCTTTACCTTTTTATTAGTTCATGCTTTGTTTTGTTTAAATTATGAACACAGTGTTAAACAGTAGAGGAGACAGTGGGCATGTCTTGTTCCTGAGTTCGGTTGGAATGCCACTCTGGGGCATAAATACAATGTTAATGAGATATTAATCAGTTTCTACACCTTGAGTACTTAATTCTATCAGATGTCTTCTGCAAAGATAACCATAATTTTTTCTTTTGCTTGTAATATATTTTCTAATATTGGATTATCCTTGCATTTCCTAATATATACTGAACTCAGTCATGATTAATACTTTTTCAAAATGCTATTGGATTGTTTGCTAGTAAATCATTAAACTTTATGCACTGATGTTCATTGGACTAGTATTTTATTTTTGGTACACTATTTGTCAGGTTTTCTAATAAGTGCTATTATACTCATTAACAAAATGAACTTGGAAAGTTTTTTGTTTTTTTTTTTTTGCAATTTAAGGTTCAAGATTCTTCTGTCTACTCCTTGGACTTGTTTAAGCAACACTGGGAATATCTGATCTTAAATGAATGCTAAGAATGACAATCTGGGTCTAAATGCTTATTTTTGGTAGGAGATCCTTTAATTACTTGTTTCTTCTATACCTAGTTTGGTTTTCTGTATTAAATTTTGGCAATTTACATTTTTCTTTATAAAGCTTTCTAACTTGTATAAAAAAATCAGCTAAAAAAATCTTGTTTTATGGTTATTCCCCCTTGTCATTTTAAGTTTTCCTTATTTGTGCTTCCTCTCCCCCTCCTTTTTAAAAAATAAATCAGTTGATAGTTTGTCTATTTATTTGAGCTTCATCCCCCAACCCAAAGAATCAGCTTGTCAGTTTATTGGCTCTACTGTTCTGGTTTTCTACCAATTACTTTTGGTTTTCTCTGCAATGCTGGGATCAATACTTTTTGCTTTTATCTTTACTAATTCCTTAATTGTGTTTACTTCAGCTTTTAAGACTACTGATACCATACAGACACTATAATTGCTCTCATAACTGCTTTTTGTTTTGAAGCATTAGGTTTCTATTTGTCTTGAAATCATGTCTCTCTGGTGTGTTTTCATTGTCTATGGGATGTTAATATACTTATTTCCTATTTCTTATACTAACTTTGAATGTCAATGGACAGCAATCTTGTTTAGTTTTTTTAAAAAGTAAGTTTTCCTGTGCTTTTGGGAAGAAGGGATACTCTAGGTTAACTCTTTCAGCTTCACAAACCCAGAACTCCTTCCCCTCTCCATCCCACATTGATTTAAATGATTGTGTTTCCGTGTTTATATATTTTTTATCTACTGGTCTTTTTTTTTTTTTTAAGAGACAGTGAGAGAGGAGAGAGAGAGAGAGAGAGAGAATTTTTAATATTTATTTTTAGTTTTTTAGTTCTCGGCGGACACAACATCTTTGTTGGTATGTGGTGCTGGGGATCGAACCGGGCCGCACGCATGCCAGGCGAGCGCGCTACCGCTTGAGCCACATCCCCAGCCCAATCTACTGGTCTTCTTGACTACTTCTCTCTCTCTCTCTCTCTTTTTTTATCCTATTGTACTTGTCTTGTCCACCCTGGATTCTAATTTCAGCAGTTTTTTGCAGTGTTGTCTTATTACTTTCAAAAAGTACACAGTATAAAACCCAGGCTGCTCTAGTGTAACCATCAGACCTTATCATATTGCTTTAAGACTCACCTGCAGATGGGACTCTGTAGAACTCTTCCCCATTTCAGCATCTATTCTCAGGTGGCCCACTACACTTTGTAGTGAGCAGCTCTGCATACTGTCATAGTTCTCTAACTTGCAAGGCTCAGAAACCAGCTGCCTTCCTCACAGATGGTGAAACCACGTGAGTCAGCGTTTTATTCTTTTACTTGTATTTTCAGGTTCATAGGAGGAATTCCCTGCTATCTAGTTTTGTAGACAGTGTGTCTGTGGCTACCCCAATTACTCTGTCTTCTTATGGAGAGATTAAAAACTACACTGCTGCCATCATCTTCCCTGAGTTTACATTCTGTTAAGACCTTTATTGTAGATTAGAGGCTTTAAAAATAATTTTGTGATTATGACACTATAATTAAGAATATGCTGGATTTCAGGCACTATGCTAAGTGTTTACATGTAACACCTCATTTAATTCTTAACCAATCCTGTAAATTAAGTTTTAATATTTTCCTCATTTTACCAATGGGGTACCTGGGGTCCAAGATATTGCTGAACTGGCAGATTTGAGATATAAACCCAAACCACCTGATTCCAGATCATCTTCTCATTAACAATCCAATATGATCAGGTCCAAGAATTTTCAAACTACATACCTCTATTAGCAAAATTTCTACTTGAATTTAGGTTACTTATGAATAAGAGTCTAAAAAAATCCTCAATACATATTACAAATCAAATTTAACACACTATAGACAGTAAACAGGTTAACAGTAACTTCTACTATCTTCTAAAAAAACAAAAACAACAAAAACAAAAAAACCCCCCACCAAACCAAAAACTGCTAGAGAGGAGAAAATTTAGACCCTGGGAACAGTTATTTGAGTTTGATCTTCATAGTTTTCTTCTCATTACACCACTACTTCTAAAGAACCAAGTATATTTGTAAAATATTGTATATAATTTACTTTATTAATCAATACTCTTCTTGTGAATTATTTTTGAAAAGTTAGAAATAACTTTCCAAAACTCACAACAGCCCAGGATTTTTTGGTCAGTATGTTTTGGTGAAAAGTGAACATTCACTGGCCTCTAAAATTTCACAAGAAACTTTGTCTCTCAGTGTGTATCAATTAGAATCATTCTATTATTAATATTCTTTTGCTATTAAATTATTCAAGGAGTTAAAAAATATCTAACAGTTTTATGAATGACTTTTACATTAGAATTCACTTAACTTTGATTTATGAATATAATTACTATTAGTACTTTTCTTATCTTCTAACCTTGTTAGTGACTCAGGAAAAATGTGGGATTTCTACATACTCATAAAGCCATTATATACATGTTATTTTAACTCTCAACCTCTAATAGACGACTGAATTTGAGATAGGGATATCTTAAATTGTGAGGATTTAAAAGCAACTTGAATAACTCTTGGAAGAATAATATCTTTGGATAAGTCTAATTTTTTCCCTACCACTGGAAGATTTTTTTTTTCCTTTTGTTTCTGAAGCTGGGGATTGAACTCAGGACATCACAAATGCTAGACAAACACTGAATCACTGAGCTACCCCCAGCACTATTTTATTTCTAATAAAATACATCTGATTTTGCAAATTCCAGTTTAAAACTAAACATACCAATGATTCTAATAAACGAATCATTTTTCCAAGTACATGCTAGGTTTCCCTTGGGAAGGGTTATTTTAGAATATTCTTGAAATTAGGCAAGAAATTAAATAAATTGAAAGTATTTGTAATTCTTAAAGAGTAACACAACTTAGTTTTTATACTGATGTCTGTAGAACTAATGATTCAACTTTTATCATTACCAAGATTAACTTAAATCTAGCTCCTTTAGTGAGATTTCCTTCTCCATATCAGTATCAGACTCATATCTCTGAAAGTGACTAAGTGATAGATGTGATTTATTGACAGGTTGATTACTAATGTAGAGTCTTTACAACATCACCTTTGTGATTAGCTAGTTCACTGAATTAATATGAAGTAATGAACAAAAGTGCAACTCTAATTCTTACCACCCTCTAAATGGTTACATTCCCCTGCCACTTACCTGAAAATATAAAAATATAAACTACTATGACTATGTATGGAGCTGCACCATTGAATTTATTTGGGAGGTTCTGTTTTTGCATTTAAATTTTTTACTGAATTTGAAAAAGCTAGAAAATTATTTCAGGTTGAATATTCCTTATCCAAAATGCTTAGGATCAGAAGTGATTTAGATTTTCATTGTTTCCCCAGATTTTAGAATATGTGCATATACATAATATCTTGTGAATGAGACCTAAGTCAGAACACAATGAATTTGTTTCATATATACCTTACAAAATTAGCTGAAGCTAATTTTATACATTTTTACTGTGTTTATTACATTTTCACTGTAATCTGTCGTAAGAGGTCAGATAAATTTCTACTTGAGTGTCATGTTGGCACTCAAAAAGTTTGGATTTTGAACTATTCTAGATTTCAGATTGTTGGATTAGGGATTCGCAACCAGATAGTTTGAAATAAGAACAGCTAATATAACACACTGGTGTCAACAAAAATTTTAAATGGCTAAAAGTAACTATTAGAAAAGTATAATTTTCAGTATCATGAATCTTAGAAATATAAACAGAAACACTGAATGCTTTTCCTTCTATATAAGAATGTTTTCTCCCCCACCCCTAGAAAAGACAACTAATGATATGAGATTAAAATAAAACATAACTGGTAGTCACACCAGCAATGTCTACATATACATAAAGATCCACACAGCACAAAACTTTCTCTTTCATAATCACAATTAAATTACTCTTTCCTCAGTTACATAATAGTCTTCTTAAAACAATCTCCCTTTAGAAAACTATCTTATTAGTTAGGCTTATTTACTTTTTTCCAGTCATTAATTTCATTTAATTGGCACACTTCAGAATAAGATAAAATAAGCCATTCTGTTAAAAAAAAATTATGGGATCATCTGTTTTCAAAGACTAATCCCAGATACTTAATTCATTAAAGCAATTTTTTTTAACATCAGCAGTCAAGATTTTTAAATGATCACTAAGTCCTCAACTGAAGATTATCAATGCTATATGAAGTATAAACTTGTTTTGAAGATTTGTGTTCACTTTATATAAGATACGATTTGTACTAAGAGTTTTTAAAAAGATAACCTACCTACATACAGTTAATTTACCTCAAAGAACTTCTTAGAAATATTGTATAAACATTTAAGAACCACAACAGAATCCAATGTGGTTCAAACTTCAACAAAGATTTTCTTGAAACCTAGTACAAAGGTTACTGGCTCAAGACCATTTTCCAAAGTGATAGCAGTATGAGTTTTGATTGTAAGACTCTATCCCTTAAAAAAAGAGCACACTTGGTTATACATGGCTTTTAACCTTGAGCTACAGTTAGGCTACAAATCCCACCCCCCTAATATAAAATCAGTCATGTGGAGATATGTACATTCTCTGAGCACTGTTTAGAGTCCTTGTTTTTCCAGCTTTGATGAAGATCTCTAAGGCGTTCAGAAGTCCGTGTGCTTACATTCAGAGCAGGATGAACTTTACAAATTCCACTTTCCTCCATTAGTGACAGGCCACAGATCCCAAAGTATGCATGCAAAGCATCTGAAAAGAAGACATTTTAAAAATCCTAACAGGCATCTATACATGCTACAAAATGTTTTAGCTACAAAAAAACTACATTAAAATTAAATTTTAAGAAAGGCAAAATACAGTTTTTGAAATGCTTACTTTCTCAGTTTCAAAAACCAATTAAAACAAATCAGATATTAAAATATTTTATTAATGAAATTATTAATAACTAAGAAGAACAGTTACAACAAGAGAAGATGCAACTACCAATATTCTCTGAGGACAAAGAAAGAACAGCAGTAATATAAAAGACCTCTCACTTTAGTGGGTTTTTCCTTTTGCTTATTACACAAAGTGGAAACAAATGCCTGTCACTCTATATTAGAAAAGAAAATAAACCTACCTCTGAATCTAAGCACTACAGCTTACCCTCATATTTAGTTCTTCTATTTAGGATAATGTCAGCCATTCTAAAAATATCTGACATGACCACAAACAAACAAGCAAACTCACATTCTATTTGGTTACAATAACAATTCTTTTGTAGTGGCCTCACTACACTTTCCCATCTTCAAGGGGACAGCAATCTTCTAAAAAAAAAAAAAAAAAAAAGTGTAGAGACTGAAATCATTTGTCTCCTGGAGCCTTATTTAAAAAATTCTGGGGCTGGGGATGTGGCTCAAGCGGTAGCACGCTCGCCTGGCATGCATGTGGCCCGGGTTCCATCCTCAGCACCACATACAAACAAAGATGTTGTGTCCGCTGATAACTAAAAAATAAATATTAAAAAAAATTCTCTCTCTCTTTAAAAAAAAAAAAATTCTGAAAAGCTCAGAACTATGTTGTTGTGGGAACATTATAAAAGAACAGTTTTGCAGTGGCCAAGATTTTTTCTTATTTTTGAACTGGCCAGCATGTATGACATCAAGATCTATTAAACTTCAAAACATCTTACCAAATCAAACTTCATTAAGCGTTACTGCTTAGTTTTATTCTGGCTTTCTTTCCTATAACTTTCAGACTAGAAATATTAATTTCTAGTTTAATTTCTAGCTTAATTTCCTTTGTACTGTTATGTTATTTCATAGAGTTATTTTAAAATTATAAGGAGCACAAAGCAACATTGAGGTTCATTTTTTAGAAACTAGAAAATTGTTCCAGGAAAAAAGGTGAAAAAGAAAGCATAAAAGTGTCAGGCTCAGCTTCACATTTCTGTAATTCCAGCTATGCTGTAGGCTGAGGCAGGAGAATTTCAAGCTTGAGGCCAGCCTGGGGAACTTAAGGAGACCCAGTCTCAAAATAAAAATGGCTAGGGGATATAGCTCAGTAGTAGAGTGTAGAGTACCTTGGGATTCTATTCCAAGTACCACAGAAAGGAGGAGTAAGGGAAGAGGCATAATATACATATAGAATAATAAAAAATAGAATCTTATATTAATTAAATTAAAATCTTTACAGATGAAGTAAAGCTTTTTTTTTCCCCCTCAAAAATTTTTTTAGTCAAAAAGAACAGAACTTGTTTCAAATCTCAAATAGTTTCTTTAAAAAAATCTTATCTGTAGGTGATGACACTACCTATTTTAACTTAATATGGTAAAGATGTATTTACTTCATAATAAAAGTCACTTTTTACAAAAGTTCCTTCCATAAAAGTATATAAAAATCTCCTCATGTCACATCTGCTACTAGACTTACTAGAACTCTCTAGTGTAGAGGCTCCAGAGAAACTGTAATCAGAGACACGATAATCTATCTGTAAAAAACTCAACAGTTTTACAAATTTTTAAATATTTACAGAAATGTCCAAGTTAACAACAGATCTTTGTAGAAAAGAAGTTAAAGATCTACACAACAAATAAATACTATTCTGTATTCATACAGAAAATAATTACCTGGATGACTATCTGGCCATTTGGCAAATCCCCCTACAAGGCGATCTTGAGTTGATAAGATGTAATTTCTATTTTTCTCAAAGTTAGTGTATTGAAAAATTTTCAGAAGCTGAAATGACAAAATTAATTGATATAGAACTTTTATATTGGTCTTTGGTTCACATTTCAGGTATGCATCATTTAGATATGTTTTTCTCTAGCTAAGGCTCACAGAGGAAATCTCAGGACTTTTCAGCACTTAAAATTAGTTAGCTACATGATCTTTTTTTTTTTTAAATCTTCTTTGCAAAGTCTACTCTCCTTTTATTGATTTGCTATTTCCTTCTCTGAACCAGGTGCAACTAGGCTCTTTGTACCACATTAAGCTACATTCAAAACATAACTTCCTCAATCTACTCAACATAATCAGCCATTTAAAAAAGAACTATTTTATCTAATCATATTTTAACTTTTCTGATAGGCTTTTGATCTATTTGTTGCAAATAGTAACTAGAACTCAAAATATTAAAAAAAAAAAGAAAGCAAAATCATTAACCAGATGCTAGAGATAGTTTTATATGAGAAAAGTAAAAATTACAGCTCTATAGTTAGGAAAGATAAAAGTGAGACAAATATGACTGCAACATAAAAAACTTTGTAGCTTAATGACTTATGTCATGTATTTATCTTCTCTCTGAAGAACCATTAAAAAGAAAAAAAACCTGACAGGCACAAAGAAGTGGTAGACAGTAGGTAAGGGTTCAAGAAATTTCTGAAGATGTAAGTAGTTTCAAGTGTAAAGTGTACTCATAAATCAGAGAACCAGGAAAGATATTAGTGTCTGATGAACAAGGATTATTTCTCAAAAAATTACCTTTAAGAAAATTATAATACAAATAAGAAACAAACTTACATACTTTGATTCAATGAATAGAATTTAAGGAAAGAGACTGACACATTTCTCATTCAGTGGCATAAGACTGACACATTTCCCATATTACCTAAAAGAAGAAATTTATACCATGGGGGATTGGGTCTGTGCATGTTAGACAAGTGCTGTAGCACTGAGCTACATCTCCAGTCCAAGAAATTATAATCCAATACAGTACTTGCTTCAACAATGAACAATATTTACATTGTCATAATAGGTGTTTATTACTGGTTTCCAAAGTGTAGAATTTTACTTATAGGGAAAACACAAAAGATCCGATAGTAATCACACCATACGAATAGTTACTGAACGTGACAGTTTTAGAGGGTAGAAGAAAAGTTTCAGAAGTAAATATAATGTAGTCAACAACAATATGCTGGGAAAAAAAGGGAGCCTAAATCCTAAATATTTCATAGCTAAAAGAAAACGTTTAAAGCTGTTAAGAAATCAGCATAGGCTGAACATGGTTGTGTATGCCTCTAATCCCAGTGGCTCAGGAAGCTGAAGCAGGAGGATCACAAGTTCAAATCCAGCCTCAGCAACTTTTATATGATTAGGCCCTAAGCAATTTAGTGAGACCATATCTCTAAATAAAATATTTACACAAAAGGCTGGGGATGTGGCTCAGTGGTTAACCCCTGGTACCAAAACAAGAAATAAATAAAACCAGCTTATAAAGTTACAGCAATGTCCACAAAAACTACAAAAGAAATGTTTAAAAGTAGTTGCTGAAGTCACGGCAAAAATCTTCAAGAGACCACAGATGGGACAACTGAAACATTGAAAAACATAAAGAATGAAAACATTAAAATATATGAGTTCACAAAGATATTACAAAAAAAAAAAAAGGAAAAAAACCCCACCCCATTTCATTGGAAAACTTGAGAGGATACTAGGGAACCAACCTACTATGCCATACACTATTAAAATTATAAAGAAATAATCTGCATTTCTCTGTACAAACTATACGCATGTTAAGGTAAAATTATTTACAAAGAAATGTTAATAAATTTAGAAGGAATGATAAGACTATCACTCTTTATAATCCCTTACTGACACACGTGATGTGATATATTCAATAGCTGCTGAAACCACTCCATAAGAGTTGATGAGTTTCTAAACATTAATAATAAATATCGAAATGCAAATTTTAAGAGCGATTCTATTTATAAGTATAAAATAATTAAACAGTACTTAGAAATAGATCTAGCCAAGGAGATGAAAAACCTATGCACTAAAAACCATAAAACATTTCTGGAAGAAATTAAAGACCACTTGTATAAATAGAAAGACATCCCATGCTCATTAACATTGTCAAGATATCAATACAACCCTCTTGTTACACAAAATTACATACAAGAGGTTGTGAGGGGGAAGGGAAAAAAAAAACAAGGGAAAGAATTAAATTACAACAGATGGGGTAGAGAGAGAAGATGGGAGGGGAAGGGAGCGGGGATAGTAGAGGATAGGAAAGGTAGTAGAATACAACAGTTACTAATATGGCATTATGTAAAAATGTGGATGTGTAATCGATGTGATTCTGCAATCTGTATTTGGGGTAAAAATGGAAGTTCATAACCCACTTGAATCAAATGTATGAAATATGATATGTCAAGAGTTTTGTAACGTTTTGAATAACCAATAATAAAAAAAGATGTCAGTACAACCTTTGGATATCTATCTATATATATACACAATCCCTATGAAAATTCCAGAAGCTTTTTTTTTCTTTTTTAATAAATGGACTCAATCACCAAATTCATATGAAACTGCAAGGGGCCCCAACAGCCAAAACAATCCTAAAAACAATGGAAGTTAGAAGGGGTACATTTCTTGATTTTAAAACTTATTACAAAGTTTCAATAATCCTCACCTATACGGTTAATTGATTTGACACGGATGCCAACACTATCAAAGAGGTGCTGGGAAAACTGACATGTAAAAGAATGACATTGGATTTTACTTTGTCATGTATAAAAATTACCTCAAGATTGACAAAAAGACTATTTATAAACAACTACAACTATAAAACTATTAGGAAAAAAACACTAGGAAAAATCTTTATGATTTTGATTGGACAACAATTTTATAGATGTCAAATTAAAAAAGATTAAACTTGACTGCATCAAAATTAAAAATTTTTGTTCATTAAAGGATATTATGAACAGAGTAAAAAGGCAAGTTGAGAAATGGAAGAAAAAAATTTCAAACCATGTTATCTGCTAAGGGACTAACACGTAGAATAAACAACTCCTGTAACTCAGTAACAATGATAATGTTCAACATCAGTAATTACTCAGGAAAAATAAATCAAAACCACAATGAGATAACCACATCAGACCCACAAAAAACCAACTGAATGACAACAACCACCACAAAATAGAAGAAAATGTTGGTGAGGATTGTGGAATACAAAACAGGGCAGTTGCTGTGGGATACAGTTTGGTGGGTCCTCAAAAAGTATGACCCAGCAATTCAACTCCTGGGTCTAACATTCCCAAATATGAAAACAAGGACTTGATCATATATTGTACAGCATGTTCATAGCAATCTTATTCACACAACCAATAAGTGGTAACAACCCAAGTGATCATAAAAAAATAAGCAAAATGTAGCATAGACATATAATGGAATATTATTCAGTCATAAAAAGGAACAACAACTTGATATAAGCTATAAAACATGGACCCTGAAAACATATGCTAAGTGAAATAAGGCAGATAACAGAAGGACAAGTAGTATGACTCCACTTTTATGAAGTAACTAAACAGACAAATTCACAGAATCAGTAGAACAGATGTTAGCAGGGGCTGGGAGAAGAGAATAAGAAGTTATTGTTTAATGATTAATGAATACAGAATTTATGTTGTGGGTGACCAAAAAGTCAGTACAGATGGTGGTGATGGTTTTACAACATTGTGGATATAAATATCACTGATTTACATACTTACAAATTGTTAAACTGACAAGTATATATATTTTACAATAAAACGAATAGAAAAACAAAAAAAAATTGATGGAAACTTAATGGAAGAAATTAGGATGGCAATTTTGAAGCCCTCTGATAAAAGGATAAACCACCAGATATGTGCTTCTTGATATAATGTAATGGGAAATATATACCATCATGGATTGGATATTTAATGATAATAAACAATTGTGGCTGATTTTTTGGATGTGATGCTACTAAGGTTCTGTGTTTTGGTTTTTTTTTTTTTTTTTTCTTTCATGGTGCTGGGGATTGAACTTAGGGTCTTATGCATGCGAGGCAAGCTCTCGACCAACTGAGCTATATTCCCAGCTCTAAGGGTCTGTTTTTTAAAAAAGCTGTTTTCATTCAGAGATTATACTAAAGAATTTCCAGTTAATATATCTCAGATTTTCTTTCAAATAATATGCTGAATGGGAGAGAAATAGGACAAGTATGGATAAAGAAAGACTAGTTTAGGGATAAATATTGATAATGGTTGATGGATATTTATACAAAGTATACAGGAAAGCATTATATGCAAATACCATACCAAGTTGTTATCACTTGAATTTTATTAAGATGGAAAAATTTCAAGTAAAACATTCTCCCTACTTTTGAAATTTCCCGTGATTAAAAAATAAATAAAACTAGCACATGTGAGAAGTAGCACTAGAAGGAGAAACAGACATTATTTCTTTCATTTTAAATAATTTTCTGTTCTAAATTTGTTTTAGTCATATACATAAATTTTGTTTAAGGGAAAAAATTAGGATATTACATAGAAGATGAATACAGACTATTTAGATTCTAGACTATCGGAACTAGCTAATACTTCTTAAAAGTAAAAAGCTATTTTTAAGATACATAAAACTTAAATATTTATTGGCTCAACAGCTTCATGGAATTAATATATTAAACTAATATATTAACAAAAACTAAAAAGAGGCATGTCAATGAGTCTTGGAAGACAGACAAAAATAATTACAGAAAGACTTTAAAAAGATAAATTACAGCTCATTCCTTGAAAAACCATTTAAGATTAGTAACTTTCCATACAATCTTTACTGATACCACTTTCAGACAGATGCTTGGACTACGTGGACCTCTAGTCAGTTTCAATAACAAGTCTTTTTATGACACTGTAATTACTAGAAAGGTGATAAATAACAAATGCTACTAAATTTTAAGTAGGTAATAGACTCAAGTTGTTATCACTTGAATTTTATTAAGATGGAAAAATTTCAAGTAAAACAGTAGTCTAAATTTAATAGCATTTAATGCACATGACTAAGATCAAACATTTTTAAATTAACATGAACATGTCCAGGTTTCTCATTTTTATTATTTTTCTTACCTTTAGAGTTGCTCCTACCCAAAAAGAATAACAGGTGTCCACGGGTTTATTAGGTCTCCCATGATAACCATTTTGTTGCCTCATTATGCACCATCTCTTTATTCTGTTCAATTCTTTTTCTGAAAAAACTTCTTCTAGTTTTCCCATTAGACATAGTGATGCAATGCCACAAAAAGTAGATCCTCCTGTTAATCAAAACCACACAATGCTAAAAACTTCAAATTAGATACCTATAAAAACAGTACAAAATGCCTGGGGGGGGGAAGGTTAAATAATTCTAGAAAACAGTGAAATAAAATTTAAGTGACAATTGATTTCAAAATAATCACTAAACACTAAAGTCTTTAGTGTTAATTTGATGAAACAGAGAGAATTTAAAATAATTTAAAGCTACAAGAATCATTCTGATTATGAGAAAAAGTAAGACTCAGAATTTCTAAGAATAAGAAACTTGTTCAAAATTACATGGTTAATGGCAAATTTGGAACTAAAATCTGGAGCTACAAAGTCCCTGTCCAACTAATCACTTGGTTAAATATATCTAACCTTCTATATTTGTGAGTTCTTTATCCATGGATGTAACCAAATGAAGATCAAAAATATTTGAAAAAATATTGTGCCTGTACAGAACAGGTTTTTTTCCCCTTGTCATTATTCCCTAAACAATACGAAAACTATATAGCCATTTACATTGCACTAGGTATTATAGTGTAGACTATGTAAGTATACAGGAAAGCATTATATGCAATTACCACACCATTTTATATAAGAGACTTGAGCATCAGCATTTGCAGAGATCCTGGAAAAATCCCCTATTTGTACTAAGGATGACTGTACTTTCCTTAGGAAATGAAGTCAGTACTTTTCTAGAAAAGACGCAACACTTTCCATTGGCATTATCTCTTGTTAACTCCAAACAATTTGAAAATACTTATTTTCCAATTTATTCTAATTTTACCTAGTGATTTTTTATTAATTTCAAAAATTTAAATAGATAATATGTCTCATCTCTTAACTTTCAAATCTTGGATATATTCTCTAAGGAAAAGTGAGTATCACCTCTAGAAAATCCAAGGTGATAGTGATGGTGTGTGTGTTGAAATAATGGGGAACAAAATCTGCTACACTGTGCTATGTCCATGAATGAATATACCACAATGAATCTTGCTTATATGATAATAACTGACAGTAACAATTATTTAATCTTTATAATCTTCCCCAATTAGTTGAGAGATCTAGTCTTGAGTGAATTAAAACAGAAAAGCAAAACAAATTTATCATAAGACTTTAGAATAATTTCTATCAAACAACCAACAATCATATTTCCTTTTCAATGATGAATTTTAATTTCTTCAAGTATTATTATTAAAGATAAAGCCTCTAAATGACAGTGCATAGTTTTTAAACAAAAGGAAAAAAGAGGCACGTTAAGTATTACTCTCTAAACTACTTTTTAGGATTCTTTAATGAAAACAGTCACAATTCAAAATAAGAACACTTTATTTTTCTCAGTTTTTGGAAATGGTAACTCTAGAAGTAAATTTGGGCTTTAAGTGTCCAGATGCAATTATTACAAAGTCTATGCTTCAAGCTAAAATTCATTTACCAATAGGTAAGCCACGTTCCCTTAAAAAGGGTCTCTTGTTTTTGTGAGATAATAAGCAAGACCAATTTGGTAGAGAAAAGCGATAGTGATGGTACGTGTACTGAAGTAATGGTGAACAAAATTATGCTATGTCTATGTATGAATATACCACAATGAACCCTGCTTATACATATAATCATAATGCATTACAACAACTACTATTACTACTACTAGAAGGAAGATCAATCAGGAAAGAAGTGCAAGTGGAATCGGGGAGGAAGGAAGGAGAGGAAAGAGAAGGTACTAGGGAATGAGACTGATCAAATTATGTTAAGAAATGTATGAATATGGCATAATGAATCCCACTAATATGTACAATTATAAACCAATAATTTAAAAAGTCTCATTTCACATAAAATTCTGAAAAACTAGTTCTAAAGTGGTAGTTTAAAAGTAGAACATTAGAAGATGGTAGAGAAAAAAACAAAAACTAGTAACATCACATTAATAAGTAGATTAAGAAATATTATTAAAAACAAGCATAAGAACTTACATAGGTCAATAAACTCTGCATACTTCACAATACTTCAAGATTATATCATTAAGAGTATAATACTATCATTAAAAGTGTAATACTACAGTATGTCTCATAACAATGATCTTAATCATTAAGGAAAGGTTATGCTCTGTTCATTCATTTTGCCTTAGTTGAAGACATTAAAAATTACTTCTTTAAGGCATATAACAATAAGAGAATATTAAAGAATGCATAAAAGTAAACGAATAATAAAAGAAACTTCTCCAAGTGAAATAATTTTAAAATTTGCCATCTGAAGTGATATGCTGCAATTGTGGAGAATTTGAAGAATACCACAGTAATAAAATGTTTCAGTTGGAAGGAACCACAGGTTTTCTCCTAACAAACATCTAGTCCAGTTCTTCCAGGTGCAGGGTGAAGTAGGAACTACAGACCTTAGTTCTGCATTCTATGGTCTACTGACATTTTAACAGTGTTAACAGTTACAGGTTAACTTGCTGGCATAAGGTTTTACAGCTCAGTTTTAAGCATTCTTATAGCATTTGCATATACTAAGATATTGAAAAGAAACCATATCCTCTGAAATGTGTCATTTAGGGTAGTCAACAATCAAATGGCTAGAGAAAATGAAATAAATAAGACACATAAACAAGTACATCATTTTGTACTCAAACACCACATGAAAAATGTAAAGTGAAATAATTTCAAGGGAATTGAATGTTGAGATAAAATTAAGAACAAAGAGATTCCACATTTCTATTCTAGCTTAAAAAGCAGAGATTAAAAAAAAAAATCAGGGCTGGGGTTGTGGCTCAGAGGAAGAACACTCGCCTAGCATGCGTGAGGCACTGGGTTCGATCCTCAGGACCACATAAAAACAAAATAAAGAAAGGTATTGTGTCCACTTACAACTAAAAAATAAATGTTTAAGATAAATAAATAAAAAATTAAAAATCCATGAATTAATTTATCTGAACTTTTCTATTATAAATCTTGAAAGAAAAAAACCAATTTTATCCCTAAGAAAGTAGTTAAAATCCAATTCTTTCAAAGCACATTAAGGAATTCTAAAACTATTCTACCATAGGAACATTATTTAGAATCACCAGATTTGATGATCATGGTCTAGGTTATAATATGTCTGTTTAGTTTTTTGTTTTGTTCCATTTTGGGGGAAGGGGTTACTGGGGACTGAACATAGGAGTGCTTAAAAATTGAGCCACATTCCCAGCCCTTTTTATTTTATTTTAAATTTTGAGAGAGGGGTCTCACTAAGTTGAGGCTGGCCTTGAACTTGAAATCCTCCAGTACTCAGCCTACTGAGTTGCTGGGATCACAGACATGCACGACCACACCAGCTCTCTTAAGTTTTACTGACAAACTATAGCTAAGTGAGTTGGACAAGAGAAGCTGAAGAGGAAAACAAAATAAACAAACATAAATAATTATTGGGGAACAAGGAAGAAAAGCACATGAAGAAACTAGGTTATTATCAAACTGTAGCAGATAATTTCCGAATTTGACATTCCAGGCTAGTGATGCAAAGTGGAATACAGGATGACCAAGTCATCGAATGCCAATTGGACAACTATAATGTACAGGGATATACAAAGAAAGACACGAATAAAACATGATTACCTTACAATCTAGCAGCAAAGATGAGGCAAATGAAAGTACCATAAACATGATATGGACCAAGTGCTACAGACATGAAAAAGGGAATAATTGCTCAGGAGCAGTTGGGGACAAAAGACAATGGGAATTTTATAAAGGCGACACTGGAATAAGGCATAGAAACGTCAAACTCTTGAATATTAAGGAAAAAAAAAAAACAAGGAGAAGGAAAGGAAAAAGAATATTAGCAAAGTTGAAAAATGTGCAAATGTTTAAAGAATACATTTTCTCTAAGCCTAGAGTGCCTGGAGGGATCATTCATACATGGGTCTGTAAAGCTAGAAGGAAAATGAGTTCTGGACTAAACTAAGGGACCTGAACACAGGTAGGACACTGCTGATGGGAAAGTATGGGTTTATTAAGTGGGTTATGACACTCTGGAATAGCAAAATCTCTAAGAAAACTGACTATAATTACTGTGGTGGTTTTTCAACTTTGTTAAGCAAGAATTATTTTTCCAGAAACCCCTTCATTGTATGATCTGAAGTTAGAAAAATCTGAGTGAGATATGTAAAGCAGAAATGAAGCAGCAGTCATTTCACAAGTTGTAGATGAAGGAGATAACAACAAAGGCAGAGGTGCTGGCTTTATTTTTCCAAATTCTTCTTTCTTTGCCCTGGTGATACCAGGGCCAGATACAGGAGTAATAGCCCTCCACACTTCTCTACTTATATTCATACCCTGGCAGTGTAGATATCTGGCTTTCTAGGTTCCACTGTATGGTCTGGCTTGTCCAGCTCTGCCAGTGTTCATGATGGCTTGTAGGTAACTTTTCTATAATCCAGACTCTTAACTACCCCTTGTATGCTTTTCTCCATCTTCTTCCATAATTGTGTAAAATTGTATTCCTATAATATATCCCTTTTTATTTTTTCAAATTTAAAGTTGTAGATGGACACAATACCTTTATTTTATTTATTCATTTTTATGAGGTGCTAAGGATTGAACCCAGTGTTTCACATATGCTAGGTAAGTGCTCTGTCACTGAGCTACAACCCCAGCCCTCCTTTATATTTTAATACTAATAGTGGTTTTGTTTCTCTAATTGAACTCATTATTGAAATACCTACTCTTAGAAAGCTGGTGTGAGGATTATGAATGGAAAATACAGAACAGTAACTGCCTGCTTTATAAATAATATTGCTCTTAATCTATAGATCTGAGATTGTAAATTAGTGACCTATGGGGGTGACAACTGGCTTAGCCAGCAAATTGAAAACAAAAAGTCTAGAAAATAAACACCCCAAATCCTGGACTGCTGGCTTCTCTGAAAAAAATCAATAGATCTGGTGGTTAGTTATTCCGCATTCCTGCCTAGCACTAACAGGCTTGTAAGGAAGAGAAGAATGATGGTGATTATAAATGTCACCTCCCCAGTTTTCCATAGT